CTGTCTACCGGTTCCGTAAGAATACAAGTGGGTTTGAAAGTGTATCAACATTTAAGTTAATGAGTTCATGAGCATGGTTTTGTAATGAAAACTTGTCTTCGATTTTTGAAAATGTTTGTATGCTCTTCAAGAAATTCCAATATTTTCTTTAGTAGTGAAAAGAAGTCTTAGACCTTAAGACCAAAATGTATGTTTGTTACTATATTCTGTAATAGTATACGTAGTCTTATTATCAAATAAAACCATATCATGTATGTTTTTCTTAAACTGTATGTAGTACTAGAGTACTATATACTAGGAAAGTAGTGTATCGTAGTAGTGTTTGTTATGAAACCATTGTATAAAAATGTAACAACCCGTCATTTCAGGTCATTAAAGATCGAGTCTTGTAACCTCTTTGAAAAAGGGATTAGAATATCATCGAAAAATGAAGTATTCAAAAGCTCTGTTGGGAGTACGCTATGTAGTAAATATCATCTTAAGGTTTCCAAGCATATAAATAACACAAAAATCCGAGTTATAACGAAGAAGTTATGACCATTCTAAGTTTTCCGACAAAAACCGGCGATACGAAGTTACGTAAAAACGCAAAGTTTCAATAAAACACTTTTTGACCTTAGGCATCTAAATGAAAGTCATAGATATCGTTAAACTACAAACGTGCATAAAAAGAACGCTCAAATCGGACATCGTATGAAAAAGTTATGAATTTTTAAAGAAATTCCTTAATCACGTCATTTTAATAAATAAATAATAAAAATAATTTCAGAATTTGCCGACGGGATCTAAAAGAAAGTTGTAGATCTTAGTGTAACCTACGCGTGGATATAAAGAACGTCGAAAACGGAGTTCGTATGAAGGAGATATGAATTTTTGAAGTTTGATAAATAATTAATATATATTTTTATTGAAAACTTCGGTATTATCCGAAGTCTGAGTCACGCAAGTACGCCCTGCGTACACGAGTACGCCCAGCGTACTCAAGGCCTTGGCCTCGGATCGTCCACGTCGCCCCTATGCGAGCCTACCCCCCCCCCCCGTCCCATCCGAAGTCCGAGGCAGTCGAGGACTCGGTCATGCATGACGTACGCGTACACCCCGCGTACGAGCGTACGCCCCGCGTACCGAGGCGGTTCCAGCCTCCTATAAAAGGGATGCGAGGGTTCCCGGAAAAATTGCTCATTCTCTCTCACTTTTCTTGCGTTTTGCCTCATTTTCCGTGCTCGCACTACCCCGAAGCCCTAGTCATTTTGTGCAAGTCCCGAAGGTCGATTTTACTCCCAAGAAATCCCGAGAAAATCCGCTTTTTCAAGCCAAAGTTTCGCTCGATTTTCGTCACACCTTCTTCAAACTATCAAGTGAGTTCATACCCCCTTCAAACACACTTTAAATACATTTTAAATGCTTTTATACTCTTTTAGGGGGGAATACAAGTAAACATACAGTTATTATCGTGTATTTTATAAAGTTTCACTTCACTTGTTTTATCGAATAAATCACTTGGAATTCATTACTACTATGGAAAACTCTTGTCATACTTTGTGTAGTGATTTCAAAGTACCTTTTGTTGCTAAGTCGTTTTATACATTCTAAAAAACTTATGATTTATGCTTTGTCAAACATTGTGAAAAAGGATAAACTTTGCATACAAAACTATCACTTTAATACAGACTTACTTGAGAATCCATGAGACATGTATATATTCAAATACTACTTTCTTATTAGAAAGTAATGTTGCAAGTCCTGTCTATAACCAGAGTCTCCCGTTAGGATAACGTGTCAAATGTGTATAGATCTATACGGGAAGTCATGATCCCGCGCCCTGACTGTTAGCTACAGTTCGTACTTTGGGGTGACAGTTGTCATAACGCTACGACGCCTGAAGAACGTCGGTACAGGCATATTATGTTTAGTATGGTTATAAAACTCATCAGATACACAATTATTATAGTACTTCTGATTTATGAATGAGTAGTTATCAAAACTATTCTTTATCTAACAAACGGAAATCCTCTGATAGGTTTATTATATAGATCTATGTTTAAAAGCATGTGGCTTGCTTCCAATTTTTAGTCTTGGACATTAAACAACTATTAGGAAAATAAGGGATTTTCTTGGTTCAACTATCTGCATTTTTCAAACACAAATACTCTCATGCATTTCATACTTTTATAAGTAAATAAGGGATTTTCTTGGAAAACATACACCCATTTTGGAATGGCATTCAATTTTTCTAAACCACTTACGAACTCACCAACTTAATTGTTGACACTTTCTCTTTGAAATAACTTGTATTCTCAGGGAACCGCTAACCAGGTTTGGAAATCAACTTTTGGGATTAACGCGTTGGCGTTAATTACTTCTTTTGAAAGATGTTTATGTATTTTATCTTTTGAACATGTAATGAATACAATTATGTAAACATTTTTAAAACCTTTATATATATATGGTGGTGTGTACTTTCCTTTCTATGAACTGTTATGATACTGAATATGACGTCCTCCGCCCCCGAATGTTTCCGTCATTCTGGTTTGTGGGTGTGACAGAAAACCTTTGTATAAATCCCTGGATACCACTAGTAGTAATGTATAGTAGTGTACCGTATGAAAACTTTTGTATGAATCTTTGGATACCACCAGTAGTAATGTTATGTATTGTATGAAAACCTTTATATTAATCCCTGGATACCACCAATAGTAATGTATATTAGTACACTATAGCTTCGTTAATTAAAATAAAACCGTTTATTTATATCCCTGGAATCCTCTAGTTGTAATGTATAGTAGTTTTATTACTTAAAATAAAACCAATTGATGAATTGTAATCCCGTAAACAATGTTTAGCTTATACTATTGTGAGTTTCATATAACCATACTTGATATGACCTAGTAACATCTACGACATTCTTCAGACGTCGGAATGTTATGACATTTATCACCCTAAGCCTGCCAGCCTAACTGTAGCTAGCAGTTCAGGTGTGAGATTGTTAGTCCCATATAGATTTATAAACAAATCTCACGCTCTCCCTCCATGAGACTTTGGTTATACCGTATAGGATTTAGTTCCGTACCCTGGTGGACACATTTGAAGTAGTGCCTCAAAACCCTGTATTAACTAGTTTATCTGTAGTTTTGTAATGTTTCCTTGTACTCGAATCGGTATGTATAACCTTGTAGTAATGTACTTGCAATGTAAAATAATTGTACTTAAATAATTATTTAGTATTGTATCTTTCTATCAGTGAAATAGTGTAGTGTTCCATAAACTATATCTACCATAGTTTATATGTTTGTTTCCGAATAATGTTCTTGAACTAGTAAAATAGTGTAATGTGTCCTAAACTACACCTATTATAGTTTGTACGTATGTTCTTGTTCTGTGTATTGTACTTCGTAAAAGTAATGTAATGTTCTTAACTATACCAATTATAGTTAAACTATATGTTATGTACTGTAGTAAAAACGTTTTCAATTTAATTGTATAAAGGAAAATCATCCTTATGCTCGGCATGGTACAAAATGATTAAAAATATATAAATATTTTTATGAAATGTAGTGAATTCTCTGTTTGAGTTAATTGCAAAGGTTTTGAAACTATCTGAAATCGTTTGTATAAAAACACAAAAATAGTTGTGCTTTGCTTGTAACCCCCTACCCTTAAAAACATTGAAAACAATAAAAATGTAGGGGTCTGAACTCACCTCTAGTATGCGTTTGTGTATGGATAGCGGTGTTGTAGAGATGATCATCGGGATGACGTATGCGAAATTAACAGTATCCTAACAATAGTTAAACACATAGTTGTATTTAAATTAGCAAAACCATTAATTAAAGTGTTAGAAAACACTTATTTTGTGTTAAGGATGATTACCGAGAATCGTACTAGTGTGGAAGAGGACTTTTCGGTTTGTCTTTCACCGAAATCCCTTGACCAAAATAAATTTTCGGTCTTGGAGAGTTTTCGGCCAAAAACGAGTTCTCTGTCTTAGAGTTTTTGGCCCCTTGAAGATTTTAAAGTTCTTCTTGGTGTTCTTGGTGAAAATATGAAGATTTGAAGGTTTTCTCTTGAAAGTTTGAATGTTCTTGGATGATCCTTGTGAGAAAAATGAGAGTGTTTTCAAGTGTAAAAGGTGAGAAATGATTAACTTTTCGAATGAAAAACTTATATACGGTTGGGTTTTCAGCCGGAAAACAGATTTCGGCCGAAAAGGGTTTTGGTGCGAGGGTTTTCGGTTCCGACGGAAAGATGTTGATTTTCGAGTGTGTTTGATTCCGGAAACTTATATAAACATTATTTATATAATTTAAATCCTATTTAACCCTTATGAATTTGACAAAATGAACAAAATATCGAATTTTATTTATAGGATTTGACTTTTGTTGATTTGAAAAATTGCGGGTTGTGACAAACATCAAAACTAAGTTAATTCCCTAACAATATACATCATTCATTGAAAACAAAGTCAATAATACGTCAATGGAGGAAATTTTATATTCACATTTTTATGTCAAGTGTCCAAATGTCTATTTAACATTTTCTTTCATTATTCTTTTAATATTCTCAAGGATTTGTGTTGTAACGAGTTTTTATTTACTCTTCATTCCTTTATAATTAAAAGTATTCTTTCACATCCAATCTTTAACCGTTAATTTTTCATGGTTATAGAGCGAGTCAAAATCGATTTTGGAAAATACTATATAGTTGTCGATGGAGACTAGAAAACCCCCCACAAACATGAACGAATCATCGGAAAATACTTCCAACACTTCAGCATCTTATATTAGTCGTGAGAGATTAAGAGTTTTCTCTTTTCGATAAAAGTTAATTAATAGGTTTTAGCAATATAAGCATGTAATACATGTTTTTCGTAACATGTATTATTGGTTAAAAATGGAGATCGTATGAAAAAGTTATGGACCCATGATCATTCGAAAAGTACCATGCTAATCAAGAAATATCAGAAAAATCAGAAAGCACGGGCTAAGTCTTGAAATACATGCATGAAACAGAGATTACATGTGTCGTCTTCTGAGGAGACGATGGCATTTGATGCGACGTGCCCTGTAGGAAGCATGGAGCGCTCACCAACCAGACGACCCATATAAGTAGCACGAAGTGTCATTCACTGTACGGTTTTTCAGCAATAGCTTGGGACGGTTACATAATTTAACATAGCCCTCGAAAACACATTTTAACATTTATATACCTGATGTAGAAATGGAGTCGATGTGTAGCGATCCCAGTATGGACGTATAAGGCGTGAGGCCCTTTTGGAAGACACGACAGTTGTTGAGATAGGTATCATATTTATTCGTTAATATGTTAACAAATCCTAAATAACGAACATGCCGGTGTTATTACGACAGTTGGAAGATTCCAGTATGGACGTATATTTACATGGAAGAGTCATAATTGTTAACAAATCCCAAGATAGTAAAGTTATAATACGGTGTTATTATGAACATGCCAGTCACTACTAGAAAAAAAGGTGTTTTCCTACGGATAATAGCTACGAAAAATTTCCATAGCTAATTAGCTACGGAATGGCTACGGATTAGCTACAGAATTTGACGCCCTAATTTAGTAACGGAATAGCTATGGAATAACTACGGATTCAATTCCGTAGGTATTCCGTAGCTAATTAGCTACGGGATAGCTACGACATCACTACGGATGCTACTCCGTAGCCATTCTGTAGCTAATTAGCTTCGGAATAGCTACGGAATAGCTACGGATGTTAACCCGTAGCTATTCCGTAGCTAATTAGCTACAAAATGGCTACGGAATAGCTACAGATATAATATTAAACCATTAAATGAATAAAGGATCTCGAAGGTGCAAACGACTGTATCAACACTATTAGTATCCTTATATTTTTTTTTCTTTTCATAGCATTGGTCGACAGATAAGTGGAGAAAGAATTCAAAAATTGCTCAGCAGAACCGCAAAGTCGCAGATGCTAATGGGTCGACAGCTAGGCACACCGCGGGTAGTATAGGATTTGACGAGCATCGTAACAACTTAGTAAGTATCATAATTATAAATTTTATTATCTTATTTTTTTAACACTAACTATATCAACTATACTTTGTATTTTTATGTAGGAAAAGATGTTGGGTAAACCACCCACACAATTTGATGTTTTCATGAAGACGCATGGCACAGCTAAGGCAAAAAAAAGATATTTTGCGGGAGATCATGAAAATCTTGAATATTGCTCACTAACTGCCAAAGAAGCACAAGTAACTTATCTTTTATCATTTATTATCTATTTTGATGTCTTAGTATTTTTGTACATGACAATGATACTTTTTTGGTAATTTGTAGGAGATGTATCTACAGGAGATGGCCAAAAAACACGGAGAAGACTCTTCAAACCATAAAGATGATGCGAGTGTATGGGAGGAAATTCAACTTAGGAGAAAAGGAAAGAAGAAGGGTGATATCTATGGCATAGGAGCATCAGATATACATTTTGTGATTACTGGGACACCGTCTTCCCAATCCACCCAATCCACCCAATCGGATAGTACACAACAAGAGGTATGTTGTTATGGTTTAAATGTTAATTAGTATGTTGATAATATTGATATAATAAACTAAAGTACATTGCTAATATTGTTTAACTATTGCATTGTGTTGCCATTTTTTTAGGTTGATAGGTTACGTGCACAAGTTTCTACCATGGAACAACAGCAACAACAAATGAAAGAACAAATGGAAATGGTTATGAGGATGATGAATATGTCTGGAAATCAACCCCGTGCTCCCCCTGATAATCCACCTGAGGACAATTGATAAGTATTTTGGAACAATTTAGTTTGTAAACATTTGATATTATTTGTTTTGTTAAGTAGTGCTTACTTTTGTAAGATATTTTGGATATGGATTGGAATGTGTCAAACTTGGTATGACGGACGTTTTTTGGTGTATTTTATATGGTATTTGGGACAAATGTGAATTGAATGTGGTATTTGACAAAAAATTGGAAATTTTTAAATTAATTTTTTTTTTTTAAATAAAACGAAGTTAGCTACGGAATCGCTACGGATTTCCGTAACTATTTACTTTCGTAGCGATTCCGTAGCTATTTTGTTCCGTAGCTATTCCGTAGCTATTTTGTTCCGTAGCTATTCCGTAGCTATTTTGTTCCGTAGCTATTTGTAGCCGTAGCTATTCCGTAGCTATTTTCTTCCGTAGCTATATAGTGCCGTAAGTATTCCGTAGGAAATCCGTAACTATTTAATTTCGTAGCTATTCCGTAGCTATAGTAGCTACGGAATATTCCGTAGCTATTCCGTAGCGATTCTGTAGCTAATCCGTAGCTATAATTTAGCCACGGACCATTATGCTACAACCAATTTTCCGTAGCAATTCCGTAGCTATCCGCTTATAGCTACGGATTGTGCCGTAGCTATTGCACCAATTTTCTAGTAGTGGGTAGAGTCGACAATGAGTTTTCGTGGTAAAACTTTTGATTCATATGAAAGTGTTATAAATCCTAAATTACGGGAGATATTGAATATGCATAATTAGGTAGTGACTTACATATCCGCTTATAGCTACGGATTGTGCCGTAGCTATTGCACCAATTTTCTAGTAGTTGGTAGAGTCGACAATGAGTTTTCGTGGTAAAACTTTTGATTCATATGAAAGTGTTATAAATCCTAAATTACGGGAGATATTGAATATGCATAACTAGGTAGTGACTTACATATCCACTTATAGCTACGGATTGTGCCGTAGCTATTGCACCAATTTTCTAGTAGTGGGTAGAGTCGACAATGAGTTTTCGTGGTAAAACTTTTGATTCATATGAAAGTGTTATAAATCCTAAATTACGGGAGATATTGAATATGCATAATTAGGTAGTGACTTACATATTTAAGTCATTAGTAGTTATATTACGAAAATTTGATAATCAGAAAATAGTCAGTTTTAGAGTTTAACTTCGTGTGGATAAAACAAATTCTAAGGAAACTTCTAATCTGTTGAATAGGTGTTGGAAAATAGAAAACCGAGAAGTCATGGAAATCGAAGATATAATCCGGAATAAATCTGACGACTAGTCAAGTGAGTATATTAGGAAATAAATTATCAAGTGAAGTGGGATGAATATATGGAAGAGAAAGTACCCTATTGAAGTAAATTATGGAGAAAACGGATTATGACCATGAATTTTAGTGTTGAAATCTAATCATATGAGATCGTGGTGCAGAAAAGAGGTTGAATATTCGTGATCGTAGAAGTGAGACATGAAGTGAAAAGGCGGCTTCAAGCCAACTATAGAGTCGATTAGAATTTAAAAAAAAAAAAAAGTTGGAAGTAAATATGGAGCTTCAAAAAGAAAATTGGAAAATTAATTGGAGCTACGCCTCCTCAAGTTAATATTAAAATTTGATATTTCGACGTACTCATTGCTAGTACATGTGCATTTCAAAAACGGTTGAATATTCGTGATCGTGATACCCCACTTTGAATAAATTTCTGTGATGATAATGAGAGTTCCAAGAAACAAATATTGAAGTAAGTTCCCAAGAGAGGAAGCTTGAAATAGGTTATCAAGATAGGAACGTAGTGATAGTTTTATGAGGAGTGCCCATAAGAGGAACGTTGGATTAAGAGGCTGTTTGGCAGGATCTGAAATTTTAAGATCTGAATTTTTAAGAGGTCTGAATTTCTAAGAGGGTCTGAAATTTTAAGAGCTGAATGTTTAACTAGCTGTTTGGTTGAGACATCTGAATTGTTATGTTGAATTATAAAAATGACCATTTTACCCTTCTGTTTTATAAGAAAAAAAATTTAAACACCATATAATATCCAACTTTAGCATAAATCAAAATTAAATACAAATCCAAATAAAAAAAAAAATTTTTAAATCCACAAAATCATAGTAAAATCTGAATATGACTAGGTGTTTGGACTTGAGGTTGACTTATGTTGGTATTTAGAAGCATAAAACATCCATATTTATTTTGTATATGATGATATCAATTTATGAAAAGTTCCTGCCTTTTTCAATCAACCCAACTTCCTTAAACCCTTTAAAACCCTCTCACATACATAAACATCAAAATTTGTTGTAGCAGATGTCTTCCATTGATGAATAACTTCTCCCACCTTCTTCAAACATCCTAACATCGAATATGCAGAAAGTATAAAACCATAGTTTCTACTAAACATTTTCTGATTTGTCATTCTCAAAGACCCTAACATCAAATATGCAAAAAGTATACAAAACCATCCATTTTAAACAATATTTTACATATAAAAAACAAACTAGTTAGTCGTTGACACCAATTCCCATTTTTCCTAATTCCCCTTTCGCTATCTGTATTCAATCTCATAAATTTGCAACCATTTTAAAATTGATCCACAATTCTTATTCCTGCGATCTCAACCAAAATTCTCATACATTATAAACGAAATTGAATGTCTCTCAAGAAGGAGAAAATGCTTACGAGAATAGAATCAGTAAATCACAAACCCAATTTGTTCTCTATGAGATTCATGACACTATATGATTTTTTTAACACATTTCGTTGGGATCAGAAGCATAAAAAACCTTACCAAGAGCTATTATTGATGACTTTGAGTGAGCTAGATGGTGGCGCTCCCAACAACGTTGGCGGAGGCGGTGTCGCAGGAGGAAGCGGTGGCCAGCTGGTGGCTAAGGGGCTGGTGGAGTGTTGCAGATCGGAGATACAGTGGGAGGGAGCAAGGAGGCGTCGTGTGAAGTACGAATAAAAATCGGGAGAGAATGAGAAAGCTCTGATGTCGTCGGAGATGGCGGCGCAATCAGAGGCGGTGGATGGCTGATGTCGGAGGGGATAGCAGAGCTCGCATGATCGAAGATGCAGTGGGAAGGATGGGTCGGCGTTTGTGAAAGAAAGAGAAGAGGGAAATGAGTCGATTACAAGGGTAAAAGAGGAAGGCGCGTTCTGCTTTGTTAGTTCAGACATGTCCCATGATCTGAAAATTTAAGAGGCGTCTTGTAAATTAAGAGCAAAAATTTCAGATGTTATCAAACAGTCTGGATCTTAAAAATTAGGAGATTGCCTCTTAATTTTCCAATTAAGAGGCTACCAAACAAAGCCTAAGTTCCCAAGAGAAGAACATGATTATGAGTTTTTGTGAGAAGAATACAGATATTGGTTGTGACAATCGCAAAAATTAACCCCAAATAGCTAAATCGCAACAAGCAAAATGCAAGATTTCGAGTTCCAACGAGTAAGAAACATCAGTATAAATGGATAAAAACCTTAAAAATAAGTACGCAAAAAAGTTATGTGATCCTTAAGAAATAAAACCATGCATATTCCAAGAGTACGTAACCTCTCGATCCCGGAATTATAAACTTCGTGAAAATCCGATTCTATATAAATAAGATATGATTTTTATAAAATACGGTTAAATGAGTTACTATTGATTGTATCTAGGAGAAAATGGGCTTTGGTTGGAAATTGCAATACATGGATGTTAAATGGAATGTTATTATTGAATCTATCTAGGAACACATGGGATTTGGTTGGAAATTACATACATGGGTGTTAAACGGACTCTTATTCAGGGGCGAATACCAGATTTCATAGTAAAGATGTAACAAGAAATTTTAGTAGTTGCACAATAGTAGAAAACAAAATCTCAAAAATTTCGAAAAATTTTAGACTACGTTCAGAAAAGTTAGGGGTTTTTCGTGCTACTATGTGATCTATACTAGAAGCTACCCTGCTCTTATTGAGTGCATCTAGGACCAAATGGGCTTTGGTTGGAAATGACATGTAGGGATATATAGTGGGTCCATCTATTTGGACTCGTTTTATATTTTTAAAGGATCCTTTAATAATTACTTGTATTTTTTTTCTAAAATAAACTAATAATTATAAAATAATCATGAGAAGTCATTTAAAAATATAAAAAGTTAGAGTAATTAATAAGGACCTTACTAATAATTATAAAAGCTGCTCTTATTCATGCATGTAGGACCAAATGGGTTTTGGTTGGAAATGACATGTAGGGATATATAGTGGGTCCAGCTATTTGGACTCGTTTTATATTTTTAAAGGATCTTTTAATAATTACTTGTATTTTTTTTTCTAAAATAACTAATAATTATAAAAGCTGGACCTTATTAATTACTTTAACTTTTTATATTTTTAAATGACTTCTCATGATTATTTTATAATTTACTTTAAACAAAATTATAATTACATAATAAAATGGTTGAATATAAAGATTTGTTTGTAGAAAAAAATATCATTTTTCTAAAAAAAAGTATTAAGATAAAAATATATTTATTTTTTTTCAAATCTATAAAATAAAATATTTTAAATAAAAAAAATTAATTATTTTTTCTATTTTTAAATAAAAGGGAAGAATGAGATTTTTGGTGTGTATAGAATTTTATTTTAGATTGGTGTATGTTTGTGTACATATTTGAAACAATGGTCGTTATAGATATATGTACCGTCACTACATTTTCTATTAATAATACTTAGTTTTCATTTAAATATTTAGTATCATTTTATTTTTATTTTTTTTGGTTTATAAAAATATTAAAATATAGAAAAAATATTAAAACATATAAAAAACGTTCACACGTTATATTATTATTTGATTATAAAAGAATAAAATATATAATAAATAAAAAGTTAATAGTAGTTAAATGATAGGTACGAGTTTCAAAAAGAAATAGCTTTTAATAATAATAAATGCTATTGATATTATAAATATACGGAAATTTATACATAAAAAATCATTAATGATAAGTCCTCTAAGAAAATCTGGAATCCAATTAG